TGATGATTCTGACGCCAAATATGAGTTCAGAATGAAAGATTGTATAGCGTGGCACTTTTCGTGAAAATCTCGTGAATAGTGTTTTCTACTGGGTATTTTGTACTGCTGTTTAAGCAACCGGTAGAGTCCAGGAAATAAATAATTGATGAAATAAGAATAAGTAAGTCCAATATATGCCATACAAGTCAAAATAGGCCCAAGAATGATATGTTTATAAGTTGTAAGTTTCGTAAGCAAACGACGTACAATTAGTGATTCACAGTGCATTTCGTCAAAAACGGTGCAGAAACCATACTGTGAATTATGAATATTGTTCCTTAGGTAATAAAAATTAATGTAAATGAGTTCAAAAAAATAAAAATATGTCCGTAGCTTTAAGTTAGTTCCAGGTTAGTTTAAGTGAAAATACGCGAAAGAAAAACATCCGATAAAAGGCCACATGTTCCTATATAGCCTAGTCACTTAAGTGGATCACTATTCATTTCAGATTTCTCCTCTTCTCTCTCTTCCAAGGCCGAGCTTCATCTATGGAGGGGGACTAGGGTTTGGTTTTGTTTCCTTTGATTTCTCTTTCAATCTTCCACCAAATCACAAAGTCCATTACATGAAATTGATTGTAAACCACCCAATGAAGCTATTCCACCACTTAGTTTGAGCTGATTTTGCTTGTGGAGAGAGTTATTCATCACCCCCAATTCGTGACACTATTCATCCTTGTAGAAAAGTGGGGCTTTTGAGTGAGCAAATCTTAGGTTTTGTTCATTGGACCTTGGAATAGCAACTATAGGTAAGAAATCTCTAATCTTATGGTTTTATTCTTGTGATTTATGTTTTGAAATTTATGATCATGTTTTGAGTGGGAAATAAATTAGTTTAAATTTTGAATTGATGATGTATTATGAATGTTTTGGATATAGGAAAGGAAAATAAGCATTTGTATGTATGTAAAAATTGGAAACAAATCCTATGCCTTTCCTCTCCATGTTTCGGCCATCATAGGTGATGGAGGGGGTATTATGCAAAATTTTATCTTATGTATTGGGAAGGTTTAATGTGGTGGAGTAAGTGGAAATTGATGAATTAGTAAGAATGCTAAAGTGGGAAAAATCCCATGGTATTGTCCACCTATTTTCGGCCATGATGGGCTTTGTAGGAGTATAATGTTCACAATTTAATTAGGCATTGTGGATATATATATATATATATATATATATATATATATATATATATATATATATATACATACATGTATGTGTAAGTTGTTAAATTAAGTGAAGAAATGAAATGAAAAAGAAGAGAAAACCTTGGTTTCTCCCCTTGAATTTCGGCCTAGGAGGTGGTTTAGGGGTAGATGTTGTTACATTTATTTTAATAAAATGTGTAGTTTTCCAAAGTATGAAATTGATGAGCTAAAGAATTGTAATGATTTAAATTTTTTTTTTGAAAGAAATCTTAGTTTCCTTTATGTGTACCCACGGCCTTAGGAAGAAAAATGACATAAATTATGTTAAAAATTCTCAAGTGGATACTTAGTTAATTTAGGGAACGAGAACGATTAGAAAAAGGTCTTGACTTATGTACTGGCATAGGATTGGCAAAAACGTAAAGAAACGAAAATAAGCGATAAAATGTATGCCTTATGTAAGGATCATGGCATAGGATCATTTTATTGATTTTGTTATGGATTCTTCTCTAGGTGTGCCTAGGGGCTGAAAAGGATCAGAATCTTATTGAAGCTATATAAGTAACTTCAGCCACAAGGAAGCATATTAGTAAAGCTTCAAGAGGTAAGCTCTATGTTTAAGGAGTCTTTTCCTGCTTGAGTGCTCCACCATAGTTAGTGAACTGTGGTTGGATTGTATGATTGTTTTGATGCTTTGTATAGATGCATTCATATAGAGTTATTTGATAACATGATATGCCTTGTTCTGATATGATTTCTGTATTGATTGTATGGTACACTGATGTCTTCTTGGGGTTTCCCTGAGATTGACGATGTACGCCTCTGACATGTTCTGGTTCCGCTTGGGGTCCTCCCTTGGGAACACATGCGTTAATTTCCGCTTGGGGTCATCCCTTGGGAATGACGGCGCACGCCTCTGATATGATATGGATATATGCTTTGTTCCGTTATGATTAGGGCTGTGCATGGGTCAGGTCGGGTCAGGTTTTTGTCCGACTCGACCCAACTTGGTTTTTATAGGTCAGGTATTTTGACCCGCCCCGCTTTAATTTGATCCAAGTCAGGTCTGACTTGGATTGGATTTTGTTGAACTAGTTCAGAACCAGTTTGGATCTGACCTGACTTGGTTTCTGAAGTGGGTCTGACTTGGTTTCTGAACTGGGTCAAATCTGACCTGACCCGTTTTTGACTTGGTTTTCTCATAAAATTTTGTCGAAATTTTTACGTTGCAAAAGACGAAAATTTCTTCACAAAATTATTTTTTCGTCGAAATTTGTACAAAAAAAAAAATTTCTATTGAAATTTAGTTTCCGTCAACAGTTTTGACGAAAATGATTTCTTCCATCAAATGTTTTAAACGAAAAAAGAATTTTGTCAAAAAATTTAACAGAATGTTTTTCGTTCAAAATTTCGTTGGGAATGTGTTCTAACGAAAATTTTGACGAAAATTATTTCGAGGGAAATGTTTCATTTGAAACTTTCGACGAAATTTAGATTCTCTAAAGAATTTTGACAGAATATTTTTTTCGTCAAAATGTTTTTTTTGTCAAAAAAATTTACGGAATTTTTTTATAGAAATGTGTTTCGTTGAAAATTTTGATGGAAATTTTTTATCAAAAAACTTGACGAAAATATTTAGTTGAAAATTTTCGATGGAAATGTGTTTCGCTAAAAATTTCGACGAAATTTTTTTTTTGTCAAAAAATTTAACGAAAATTTTTTCGTCGAAAACTTTCGCCGAAATTTGAAATCTGTAAAGAATTTTGATGAATATTTTTGCCGTCGAAATTTTTTGCCGTCAAAATTTTTTGATGACAAAATTGTTTCCGTCGAAAACTTTCGCCAAAATTAGAAATCTGTAAAGAATTTTGATGAAATTTTTTGCCGTCAAATTTTTTTGATGACGAAAATTTTTCCGTCGAAAACTTTCGCCGAAATTTGAAATCTGTAAAGAATTTTGATGAAATTTTTTGCCGTTAAAATTTTTTGATGACGAAAATGTTTCCGTCGAAAACTTTCGCCAAAATTTGAAATCTGTAAAGAATTTTGATGAAATTTTTTGCCGTCAAAATTTTTTGATGACGAAAATATTTCCGTCGAAAACTTTCGCCGAAATTTGAAATCTGTAAAGAATTTTGATGAGATTTTTTGCCGTCGATATTTTTTGCCGTCAAAATTTTTTGATGACGAAAATGTTTCCGTCGAAAACTTTCGCCAAAATTTGAAATCTGTAAAGAATTTTGATGAAATTTTTTGTCGTCAAAATTTTTTGATGACGGAAATATTTCCGTTGAAAACTTTCGCAGAAATTTGAAATCTGTAAAATTTTTATGAAAATATTTTCCATAAAAATTTTTGACGTAATTGTTTTACTTTAAAACTTTTCTTTTAAAGTAGTTGTGATTTTTTTTTCACATAATGATTATGGGTCAAGTTTTGGGTCAGTGGGTCAATATTAAAACGAGTCAGGTCTAAAACTGACCCAAATAAAAGTGGGTCAGTATTTAAACCAGTTCAAAAAATATGGGTATTTATGGGTCGGGTCAAGGTCGGATCAAGGGCAGGGCAAGTGAACCAGTTTTTTTGCACAGCCCTAGTTATGATATCTGTTATATGTGCATTGAAAACTCTGTATCTGACTTTCATGCAGGAGTGAGCCAGGGGTATGGAGAATTCTCTATAAACCTGGAGCTTATTGAGATTTGTTATCTCACCCCTCTTTGGGGACATCGTTTCAGGTTCTCAGATCCCCGGTGAGCCCTCACTAGGCAAGGACGTGACACGCGGTTGAGGCATTTCGACAGATTGGATTTTGAGTAGCTGTAGGCTACTTCTATTTTGGAGTACAGTGCTTTCATGTAGTATTTCAGTATTTTGTGGATCTTGATGTTGGATCCTTCATTTTGTATATGGTCTGTATATGTTTTGTACATGTCTGTCAGTTTGATGCATGTACATTTGGGTATTCAGGCACGTTATATGATTATGTAGTATTCAGTTTATGTTTACATATTGGATTGCATGCTGTTAGATTTAGTGGCACGGAGCCAAGTTATGCATGCGCCCATGGATGGGTATATGATTATATTTGGATGTCTGGTACTTCTGAATTTATATACTGTATAAACTGTCTATCAGGAACTCTTGAGAGTGTGATTGGAAAATCCCCAGTTGTCTGATTTACAGAGGTCACTCTGTCCGATTTTCGTCTTCGCCGAATAAGAATTAATCTAGAAAAAGAAAAAGTTAGCTCGTATTTTCGTAAGTTAAGTCTTCCGCTGTTTCCGTTTGTATCATATGCATGTTAATTGAACTGGCTCGAGACAGGGATGTTACATGAAGCAAGAAAGATAAAATAATTTGCTATTAGGATAGATTGTTAGGGTAAAAGATAAAATTTATAGGACAAAAATATTTCTCTTGTTGGACATCCAGCTAGTAATTCTCATCGTTGATTTTCTTTTATTCCCTGCATTTAATACTTTTGCTCATCCATATATAATTATAATTTCTAGCTAGACATTTAACAACTTCAGAAATGATAAATCCAAATTATAAATACAAATTTAGAATAATGACAAAAATGGAAAATAAACGAGGATTCCAAAATGTTGACATATATTTTAAAAAAATTCCTTTTGGGAGCTTTTAATTTTTAATTTTTTTTTTCATTATAAAAAAACTCTTTTTATAATAAGAGTTTTTATAAAAATATGTTTAGGAAGAGAAGCTAAAAATTAAGACATGCACGAAAGTAGAAAGAAAAGCCACTTCTAATAAATTAAAATAGAAAATTTTATTAATAAAATTTGTCTTCTTCATACACTTTTGAACTGCTTAATGAAGTACAAAGAGAATCCGCAGCAGTATGAGTCTCCGTCTTTCTGTGTCTTTGTTTCTTATAGAGGCAGTCCAGCCATAAAACGTTGGTAAAAATACAATGCCTCCTGTGGTTTATATTCTGGAACAGTATGCCCAGCTCCCTGCACCAATATTATTTAATAGTATCAAAACCAAAACAATCTTATGGTAATTTAATAGAACTAGAACATTTTCATGTACATACCTTTATCGTGAGAAAAGTAAGATTTTTTTCATATCCTTGTATATACCTGCAACCAATAAACAAAACCAACTCAACCTCTAGTCAAGATTATGTCCTAGTAATGGGAATGATCCTCATGAAAAGAGTTGCTTCATACTGTAAATACTTGAAGAAGATCTTTTAATTGGATTTTAAAACCATTTAAGGAAATTAAGCACCCGAATCTCCCAAAAGGTGAATCCATTTAATGGATTATAATATTTGAAAATTCATTAAGTAGGATAAGGAGGAAATAGCATTAGAAGTACCCAGCAACTTGATCATTGATTGACCAAGGTCTCCATTCATCAACAATCTTGTATCCAAGTGAACTAGTCCATGCTCGGCTTCCAGTAAATGGGACACACATGTCATGATCACCACTGCCAAAAACATGAAGCTTTAGGAACAACCAAAAAGAATATAACATAACTTGAAGCCTTTGAATCATCAAAGATAATAGCAATTACAGTAACAAATTGCTGTGCAAAGAACTAGAATTATGGTGATCCCGCAAACTTTTTGTAAACAACTTTAATTGGGGTGATCCTTGTGTGGATATAGTATAAACTATGAAGCAAGTTCAGCAATAAATAATCAATCCCTTAAATGCACTAGAATCTGACAGTTTTGCAATGGCAATGAAATTCAAAATGTTAAACTATGTAACAAATAGTTGTTGGTCAAGTTGCGACCTAGTTAGACGCATAGACCCCAATATTTGACCTGTTAAAAGAATAGTTGGTTCGAATTTCGAGAGAAGCAATTTCCGAGGAGAGTGGAGAGCCATAAACCCGAAATCAGATTACCCGTGTCCATTAGGATTCCAGACACCCGTTGTTATCTAACATAATTTATATTGTATACCTAAGAATTTCTTCTAGAAGACTCAAAAATCAAAGAAAAGAAAATACTTAATAGAACATACATATAACATGGTAAAATAAAGTAGAACCAGAATTGTTGAAAGCTCCATACCCAACAAACAAATATAAAACTAAAAATTTCACACTGTCCTGTAGCTATATTAAAACATGTTCACATAATGTACTTTCTTTCAGTTGTCAAGTCACCAACAAGATCAAGGACTGTTGCATTGATGAAAATAATGATAGATTCTTCCTTCTCAAATAAAACTATTGAAAGATATAATAAAATCATCATCTTGGTACTACTCTCGTCCAAGCTAAACTAATTTGTGGAGTTCTAATGGCATCAAACACATTTTGCTTTCATAAATGTAAAGAAATGCCTTCAAGTTTAAAATTCACCTGTATATAAGTGCTCGATATCCTTTGGAAGTTAGTTTCTTATGGTACTTGATCATACTCCCAGTATCATGATTGTATTCAAGGTCGGTACATAATTGCCAATCACTGACCACATTTTTCTGTTGTGGAACAAAGATCACAATTTAGTGCTTTGATATCCACAGCACCGTATTTTGCTAAAAAACCTTACCTCTACTGTGTGGATTGCTCTCCTGACCTCAGGATTGTTCAGCCATAAGGTTGCAACCTCATCATCATCCTATAACGTTAGATTTTGTTACTTAAACATCCAATGTAGAGGCAATGCAACAATATCAATAACAAGAATAACTGCAATTTTTTTTTTTTTTTTTTTTTTGGAGTTACCCAACCCTAATTATCTCTTTGAGACGAGTTGGCTCCCTCCGGTATCCCCACGAGCTTCGACTCTTTGAGCCGGCTATGGGACTAATCCGGAGTGCGGGGGAACAGTGATGGCTAAAGGTTCAGCCCCTTCCCCAAGAATGCATTCAGCGGGAATCGAACACATATCCAACCCCACTAACTCAGCGCCAAGTTACCAACAACTACTGCAATTTTATCATGTATAAAAGCATCACTCATGAAAGCAGATATGATACATTAAGAAACAGCGACAAAAAAAGATTATGCTATTCAATTAGCAAATATTTATCACCAATTTTTTTTCTTCTTAACTAAATCATAATTGGTGGGAAGGATCAAAGCAAGATCAATGTATGACTAAAACACAACTTTATTTAGTATGCCAGAAACTTGAAGTAATAATCCACTTATAGATAATGACTTTTAAGGCACCGCCATTAGAAGCTAGAACCTAATTTATGCGGACACAATTTATTGCCAATAAAAACATTATTGGATAGATATCTCTCAATCAAGTTTGATTTCATATTTGAACACCAAAATTGATGAAGAATTATTATTTCAAATATATAAGGTTTAGAACAAGATAGAATATGTTTAAATATTTTCATTAGTTTATATCATTGAGTCAAGTTTTTCTCATTATCTTGAGCAGAATCTCCCTTTCAGCACTGTTTTCATCATTTTATCATGTAACTATTAGCTTTTGTAGTTTCATTTAAGATAAATGAAATCAGTAATTCTGAAGTGTATATATGTATATCCTTATGCGCTTACTTTAAAAATAAGTTCATTTTATAGAAGTCTTATCATCAAAATTATATCCAATAATCAAGCAAAAAAATAAAATCAATGGAGAAGCTGGGAGTAAAAATATGAATGGTAAAGAAATAAAGTACCAAAGGAAAGTAACCTACATCGCATGGAGCAGGGATGTCATTGCTCAGTTGTGGCCAAGTTGGTACAATTCCATCTTTCACAGGAGCTCTTAAGGGCCAACCACGACCAAACATTCTTTTTCTCACAGGCATAGGTCTATCAGTTTGACCCAGTTGCCTAAAGCTAATTGGCAACTTATGATAGGATCTTTTATTCTTTTCTGTCTCTTCATCATGATAGCATGGTTCCAGAATGTCATATATGTTTACCCCACCAATGTCCTGTGAAGTAAAAAAAAATCACCAATGAGTGGCTCATATCTCTTAAGGTTGTTTCATGTCAGGACTGTCCTATAGTTAAATCACCTCATCAAATTTTGACAACATTTTTTTGCAATTTGCGTTGACTGGATCATAGAATTTCCCACTGCATTGTTTTGTGATCTCCTGCAGCATATACCATTGATTACATGAAACATGTTAAAAAGCTGACAAACTTATAGCAAAGTTTTAAGTAGAGGCTGCAGCATATACATTCTGCTAACTAAAGCATATTTACTACCAGTTATCACTTAGTAGCAATGGTTCAAAAATGCATCAACATTGAAGAAAGTGTAATTAACAAGATGCGGTCCACAATTTAAAACTTTGTAGAAAGTGTAAACTATTTTACATACTTCATAAAAGAAAAAGTAAAATACAAGCTATTAATTAGTCCACTAAGATGATAATGATGTGCAACTAAGACCTTGCTATATAATTAAGGGTTTTATTTTTACCCCAAACATTTCAATACTGATAAGACCCATCCCATATGCAAATGGAACAATAGCATTGCCATCAAATTCTTCATCTGTAACAGCATTTCCAACCATGTAGCCCTGCATGTTGAAATGATTTCAGATTGTGGCAACTGATTTGAAAACATAATGTGACCCCTTAAAGATAAAATACCTTGAAATTTAGTTTGGGCGTTGTGTTAGCTTCAATTCCTGTGGAAGATCAAGAAACTGAATCATACGTTTGATTCTAACACATTCAATTCAACACTTTCATGACACGACTTGTTTTACCTTTGACTATTTCATCAGCAAGAGTAGGCACATAAACTCCAGCATAGGACTCTCCAGAAATGAAGAGTGGGTTGGGAAGGAACTCAGGGTATAGTTCAAACCACTGGTTTGTTCAAGAATAAGGCAAAAGCAAAATGGTAAGAATAAGGATTTCTTGATTCAAATATTTATGTCAAAAGTTTCCATTTGTTTCCTTAACTACCTTGAGGAGAAAAGTATGTGTATCAGAGGCTGTCTTTACATCTCCAGTAGTGTAATCAGATTTATTCTTTGAGTATGAAAACCCCACTCCAGCAGGAGAATCCAAATATATAATGTTGGAAACCTATAATGCAAATCAAAGTAGAATCTTATACACACTGATCAAAACAAGACACAATCGTTGATTAATCCCAAAACTTCAGTTGGGGAATTAAATCATTTTGCTCTTTCCCTTTCTAGATTCAACACAGTTTGTAAGTTGATACCTTTGACCAGCTGTATGGATTGAGTTGCAACCTTGGCAGGGTTCCCTTAGTCTTTGGTTTTTCAAAATTAAAAGGACCTGAAACACATGAAGAATAAGCCACATGATTTATAAATGAGATCAATAAAAATAAAACCATTCAATCTTGAAGAATTAATGAGAACTCAGGGTCAAGAAACCACAAGCAACAAAACTATGTTTTGAAGAAGTCTAATGAGTAGACCCCAAATTAGTTGGGGTAGCGAAATAAATTGAATAAAATCACTTCTCACAAAACCTCAAATAGCAAAATGGGGTGAAGACAATCCTTATACCCAGTCTTATCCTTAAATATTTGCAAAGAGACTTGATTTTCTGGATTTGAACCTATAATCTTTCAGACACAGATGAACAGTTTTACTATTGCTTCAAACGAAATAAATTAGAATAATAGGGAAAAATGAATAAGACGGAGATTAACATTGTAAGCAATCACAAACCATTTGCGCTTACAATTCTACCTGTTCAACCTAAAATGTATCAAAACCAAAATGGGAAAGTGAAAACTGGCTAGTAACCCTTACCATGCTCATATACAAAGCCATCCAAGCTAGAGCACCCTGGTCCACCATTAAGCCATAGAACCACTGGGTCCTGAGATGGTTTACCTTCAGATACAACAAAATAGTAATACAAGTCCCTTCCATGACTTTCATCCACAGTCACATACCTTAAATGTCAAAAACCAAGACCATTGAATCAGAAATCTTGCAATTCGGCCATTAGTTAATGTGTCAAAACATATGAAACAAGACAAGTAAAAAAACAAAGAACAAAAGCCAGAATTTGATATAGCCAGTGCAGGAATTATAAATAATTGGATATAGTATACTCAACATAACAATATATAAAGGTAATAAGGATTTTTCTCATCCCTTTTCTCTCCGGTCGGGTTTAGTGGAGATTGATTTTTTTTATACTCAACATAAAATAAAAAGTCACTCCTTATTAAATTCCGATCAGGATAGGTGAGAACAATTCTTATACGCAATCTTATCAGCAAAAAAAGTTATATTCTTGATTCGAACCTTGGTTACAAAGGCAAAATAACAAAAACAAATTAAAAATAAAAAGGCAGAATTTGTTTAAGGACAAACTAAATAGCAATTGCAGGAATAAGAATTGAAGTGGAATTGGATATAGAAATAGCATACCCAGCATAGTGCCTGGAAGGTAGAGTGCCATTGAAGCCTGGAACATTGGTTATAAGAGACTTTTCAGGTGCTGATTGGGTCAGCACAAAGCTCAAAGAAATGTGGATTAAGATAAAGTAGAAGTAGAACATTTTAGCCATCTAGGGACCTCACTCCTAAAATAAAAAAAGAATTGTTTATCAAGACAGTGACAACTTGATACCATTTTATAGTTGAAAGATTCTGAATATATAATTATACAATGATGGTTCTACCTTTTTCTACTTAACAATTGTGGCTTGTTTAACTTAAAAGCAGAGATACAACCAGATGAGGAATAGAGGTAATTGAGATATCAAAGTCAAAGTTCCACGAAACGTAAAAGGAGAAGTATAAAAATAATTAAATATTCCTTAATCAATTTCCTTAAGAATGTCTTTATTATTATGTAACCAAAATATTAAATTATTTTAATATTTGCAAGAAACTAAGAACATAGGTCAGGATTAACACACAATCATAATTGTTCGCTCACTTATATCCGATGATTCACAAAATTAATAAATTATAATCATTAGATATAAATAAAATTCAACGATCAAATTAAGAGTATAATTCATAATAATATGAAATGATCGTGTCCTTAAGTATATATATATAACTAAAGTGTCCACAATTTTGCGCCATAATTCATTTCATATTTTAATTTTTAGGAACTTAATAATTTTAGATATTTTTCAGTTTATAATTGATTTTGTCTTGAATTAATTTAGTCTAAATAGTAATTCGATTAAGTTTGTTATAGTTCTTCCCTAATTGCACTAATTATTTTGTTTTGTCACGTGTAAATTCAATTTAATATTTTGCATGTTTTATGATCGTGTCCTTAAGTATATATACAACTAAAGTGTCCACAATTTTGCGCCATAATTCATTTCATATTTTAATTTTTAGGAACTTAATAATTGTAGATATTTTTCAGTTTATAATTGAATTTGTCTTGAATTAATTTAGTCTAAATAGTAATTCGATTAAGTTTGTTATAGTTCTTCCCTAATTGCACTAACTATTTTGTTTTGTCACGTGTAAATTCAATTTAATATTTTGCATGTTTTATGGAAATCAAGATCAGGATGATTTTTTTTTTTTTACCCCTCCCCTAGTATTTATTTGTTGTATTTAGTTGACTTAGGGAATATGAGTAGATCCCAGTGTATTTTGCCTATTTAGCCCGTGTGAGGTCTGTTCTATCTAGGATACCAAAAAAATAAAAATAAAAAGTACCGTAAATTCTTATATTTTACATACACGCAATATTTGTTAGGTCCTGGATAGACCGTATTGCTATACCGTGAGGTATGCGCTCAGAGATAATGTATATCAGGTGTATACTAGGCTTATAGCCGAGGTCCCAATCACTGTGCACAAGCAATAGACTTTTAGCCAAGGGGTGAGTGTGTGCACAGTGTGGGCAGTATTCGTAAATAGGTTAGAAGTGTTTACCTGAAGTCCTTAAGCTCTTATTTATAAGGATTACCTTCTTAGGCTTGGGCCTTTTGAGCTCTCCCAATTGCAATAGGATTCAACTCCCTTTCTGTTGGGATGTGATCCTTATCTTGTGCCCTTTGATTGTTTAGAGTTGTTGAGATGCTTATGACTCTATCTCTTAGTAGATTCCTAGGTTGGTAGTTGGGATATGATATTCATATCCATAACAGTTGCCCCCCAGCTCGGTATTCTGAGGCTTGGAATACCGAGGTGATGTTATGTCACCTCGGATTTGGTTCGTCCGAGTTCATTGGTTTCAGAATTGTGTCTTTGAAAGTTTGACTTCTGTGACTACTCAGAATTAATTTTGCCGAGGTCATTTGCATAACTTTTCTTGTTCTTCCTTGGCATTGCATATGAAGTTGATTTTGATCATGTCGGATTTTCATGAGTACATTTTATGCCTTTAGGGATTGTCGGTCCGAATTTTGATCTCGTTGTGCTGGGCCGAGTTGAAGGTCTTGGCCATGCTACGACTTTCGGTTTCCACTTCGTGGTCGAGTTCCTGTCGACGTCTTGATCTAGGTCGGATTTTGTTCTTATCTTGCTGTCCTGACCTTTCACTTCTTGCCTGCGGTGACGGTTATGGACTTCCATGTGTCTCTTTTCTAGTGGTGGTTCGTGCATCGTGGGTCGAGCGTCATTCTGAGCCTTTGCAGGTCATGATGACGCTCATTAAACGAGTGCAGAAGCGATTTTACAACTTTGCCCATGGCTACTCAACCGTTTGAGATCCTTTCATCTTCGCGCCTGTGGCTTTGTTTCCCCTTTAAATACCATTTTTTAAAATGGTATAGGATTTTTGTTCGTCTGCATCGCCTTTTACATTATACTTCCCTGCTTAATTTCTCTCCACCTTCAGGCGCGTTTCTTTGAGTTTCTGGGTCTTCCTTCGTTGTCAAGGCATTCTGAGTGTGTTAACCTTCTTCTCAGTCCTTATCTTGACCAGGTATCTCTTCTTCTTTTCATACTTTTTGTTTCAAGTATTAGTTTATATTTCCTGTTGGGAGGAGTGTTTCTTGAGCTCTCCTTAAACCAAGTGGGTAATGGATATTCCTGGTTCTTTTGGTGCGGCTGTTGGTCGAAATGATGGAGGGGATCTTAACGAGGAAATGGTACAGGAATTACCTCGAGCCGTCCAGTATTGGTTCTATGGTAGGGAATACACCGAGGAGGAGAAGCTCCAGCAGCTTCTCCGAAGCCACCGAGGGGGTCGTCGGGTCTCCCGAGGTGGACGTGGTAGGAGAAGAAGTGGGAGTCATCAACCTCAACTTAATTTTGGCAGGGGTGTTCCTCCTTCGGTCCCTAACCTTTCGATTTCTGGGTTGGGCTCCTCTCCTGACCCAGCTCCTTTATCTTATATTTTACCATCATCTCAGGTGGCCCCAAGTCCGAGGTCCATTTTAAATCGGATTCCCCCTCTTAGGTTGAGTGATAGTTCTTCAAGTCTTTCTTCATCCGAGCTGGGTTTTCCAAGGTCGGATGTTCCTTCTTGCTTTGATGATTCAGCTTCTAGTCGAATGCCTTTTGTCGATCTTTTCAGTAGTTCTGACGACTCCATCCCTTTTTCTTGGAGTCCAGGCTTGCCGCCATATGATCTTGGGAGTCCTAGATCGGATTTGGTTGATTTTTGTACTGATCCTCATCCTTTATATTCCAGAGCCACAATTATGGAGGGATCCGGCGTTGAAGATTGGGTTCTTCTCGAAGTCCTACAAAGGAGATCCACAATGTCTCCTGCCGACGTGGCCCAACTTTCAGTTGGAGAACCCACTGGGGTGGACATGCTCCCAGCATGTGATCTTTCGGTGTCTGCGGGTCCTATTTTGGACGAGCCCCATTTGTTTTTCCTTTACCAGGATCTGATTACCAAGTTAGGGATTCGGTTTCCCTTCACCAAGTTCCAGATGGCCGTGATTCGTAGGCTTCGAATTGCGCCTTCACAACTTCATCCCAACTCATGGGCCTTCATCTGGGGTTTCGAGCAAGTGTGCGCATACCTTTGTCTTCCTTGTACAGTTTGCCTTTTTTTTTCACTTTTTTGATGTATATACAGCCCGGACTGGAGCCGAGGCTAAAGAGAGAAAGGGTTGGGTTACTCTTCGAGGTGCTCCGAACCGGGGTATGTTTATCCCCTACTCCCAATCTTTCAAGGGTTTTAAGGACGCCTACTTCAGGGTAGTAGCTCGTTCAGACTGCCTCCCCTGGTTTGCCTCGTCTTTATCAGACGGAGGGGATTTGGCAGGTCGGTTTGAGCTTTATTGGTCGCAGAATCATTATCAACGGCGTCCTAAGGACTATGCTACTCCAGGAGTAGCTCTTTCCGATTCGGAGAGACTGGCGGCGTCCGTCCTGATTGGTTATGCCCGAAAATTTGGCATTATCGATTTGAGTCGGATTGTAGATAAATTTGGAGAGGATCTCCTCCGCGATCTTGGTATGTGATTTTCCTTTATGACCTGTTTCTGATATATCTAATGACTTGAGTTCTGATCTTTGAAAATCCTTTGCAATTAGCATGACGAGCGAAGAGTACAGGAAGTTTTTGCCCAAGCCAAAGAAGACTTCTAAGGGGAAGGCTAAAGTAAATCTTTCCTCCGAGGTCGAGACTACCAAGAGACGACAGATTGACATCGGTCAGGGTGGTAGTTCGGCCATTGACGAGGTTATTTCAACCGATGTTTCGGCTCCCCTTTTTACATCCTCGCCATCTCCACTCTCCCCTCCTCCTCCCACTCCTCAAGGGGACTTGATTGTCTTGGAATCTGGGGAGTTGTGGAAGGCCGGGATCTCGGATCGACTTAGGGCTGTGCTGAAGTCTCCTCAACAGTTTATGGGCTCTTCGACCTTGACTTCCAAGCTGAGGAGCCTGATAGCTCGTCTGGAAGAGGATTCTCTGAAGACGTCTTCCTTACTCCAGTCTCCAGTCATTTCAAGACCTCCATCAAAGGCTCGATTTGTCGGCTGCTTCCAATTCATCCCTTGCCCTCAAGGTGGAAGAACTTTTGGGGAAGAATGGAGAGCTCGGTAAGACGAAGTCAGAGCTGGAAAGGAGAGTTCAGGAATTGAATTTGGAGCTGCGGGGGGTGAATAAAACTTCGGAGTCGGCCAATATCAGGGCGGAAGACTTGAGGATGGAAAATGAGGCTCTTTCCAAGTCTTTGGCTGACAAGCACTAACTAACCGTTTATACTTAAGTTGAATCAACGAAAAGATCATTGATTGCATTAATTTCTTGTCACCAGAAACTAAGTTGAATTGTATTAAAACTTAATAAGCAAATAAAATGTGAATTATAATGTAAACAAGTAGTCAGATGTCAATTTCCCTCAAGCATGAATTTATGGATGAACCAATTTTCATTATGAATTATCTACTATGTGATGTTGATCAACCTTTTTCTTATCATCAAGATGTAATGTCTTACTACCTTGATAGATACATTAATCAGAAACCCCAATGTCTTGGTGATTCCCTTCTTAATACATGCATTAATTACTAAGGTCTTAAGATCACATCAGAAATCCTAGCATCAATGTCTTGACTACTAGAACACTGATGATGAAGTTGTCAAATATAGAAATAATGTAAACATGTCTGTTCTACACTACTCCTTAACATGAAGAATTTAATCAAGACAACTTCATACAATCACATAATAG